CATATGTTGAACCCCCAACCCCCAAGGGGGATGGTATTGGGAGACAGGCCTTCGAGAAGTAATTAGGTCATGAAGCTGGGGCCAGGTCTGATGGGGTTCGTGCCCTTAGAAGAAGAGACACCGGAGAGCTTGATCTCCCTCTGTCTGTGCACATGCACCCCAGAAATGGGTATGAGGACACAATGAGGAGGTGGCCCCATCTCCAAGCCAGGAAGAGAGCCCTCACCAGAACCCCACCATGCTGGCACCCTCATCTCAGCCTTCCAGTCTCCAGCATTCTGAGAAAACAAACTGGTGCTCTTTTAAGCCGCTCGGTCTCTGCTATACGGTCCTGGCAGCCTGAGCTGACTCATGTATTATGTGTCCTGGGAGAGGCACTGACCCTCCCCCAAGAAAATCTCAGCAGGAAGAGCAAACAAAATTATCAGCAACCAAGAGCAGTCAACTGTTAATTGCAGGTCAGGTCCTGTACAAAACAAATTCCAAAGAGCGAGATGTAGATGACCAGAAGACCCGGTGCGCAGCCCCACCTGTCCTGGGGGAGTGGCGTCATCCTGAGCAAAGTGCTCCCACTTCTGCCCCCACCTTCACCACGGGCCAACTGAGAAGGTCGGACCCTATGAGGTTTGTGAATATGCGCTACTGTTATTGTTAAATGTAGAGATAATTCATGTTCATTTAAAAGCGTCCACCATTGCGGAAACGCGGAGTAAAATAGGAACGCTCCCCCTGCCATTCTCTCTGCAGAGTCAACCACAGGCCCCAGTGTAGCATCCATCCTCTTACACCTTTTTCTGTCATGACCCCACTCAAATTTTCACCCTTGCGTGAAGCCTTCCCATGTCCCAGCTCCCGTATTTCCCTTCTCTTTTTTCCCTGGCATTTTGTGTGGGAAGACAGAGATTTAGGGGACTGAAGGCAAAGTGGCGGAGCTGCTTCCGTGAGCGGGTTATGGAGGAGCAGTTCAGAGCGCCACACTCTTCAGACGTTGAAGAGCCATTTATGGAACCGTCTAACTCAGCATCCAGCTGAGCAAAGACAGCAAGCGTGGCTGGGATGCTACTGTGGGTGGGAAAGGAGAGTCATAATGTATGTCTTAAAAGACCGATTTTGAGTGTATCCTGTCATTTAATTGTTTTTATTGAGGCATAGCATAGATAAAGCACAAGCATCTTAAGTGTACAACTTGGAAAAGTTTTACTCACACACATACACCCACACCCACACCCACGTACACACAACCCTATGTAATCACCACACAGACAAGGAATATCTCCAACACCCTGGAATTTCCTTATGCCCTTTTCGAAGCAACCCCCCCATTCCAGGGTACCCACTGTTCTGACTTGTATCACTGTCTGTTCATTTTGCCTCTTCTGGAACTTCATCTAAATGGAATCACGCAGCATGTGCTATTTTATGTCTGCCTTCTTGTGCTCATTGCGATGTCTGGGATTCCTCCTAGTTGTTGCACGTAGCACTATCTCGTTCTTTTTTATTGCTAAGTAGTATCCCGTTGTAGGACTGCGTCATGATTTGTTCATCCTGTCTTCTACTGATGGACATTCGACATGTTTCCAGTCTGGGGCCATTCTGGTCGCGTTTTCTGATGGACAGATGTGCTCATTTCTCTGGTGGGTCTACCTAGGAGTGGCGTTGCCAGCTCACGATTTGTTTCTTACAGAAATAGCCAGAAGGATTTGCCCCAGCCATGAACTCTGAAGCCGCAGAAGGAGCTCTAAGAATATTTGTGGAACGATGAGACGCACATGTCTCATCTCGTCAAGATCATCCCTGTCGGGAAGAGGCAGCAGCCAGGGGCTGAGCTAAAGAGCCGCAAGACTTGGGAGACATTATCTTCTCCCATCCCCACGGCCAGGAGTGAGGCTGAGTGTCTCGTTCCAAGGCCGACGTTGCCCTGACCTCCCGGGCTGTTATCTGTGCTTTGTGACTCGGCCCCCACAGTTCGACGAGTGACTTGGAGGAATAAATTCACGTTTCCAGAGCTGCCGATATGCTTGCTCAGTTCAAGCCAAGCTCTGTTCCTGCCTCAAGGAGGACTTTGAGTTTGAGGGGAATTAGCCCTGATTGGCAGGAAGCCAAGGAACAAAGCAGCAGCTCCTGTCCCAGAAGGACCAGAGCTCCTGAGCTCCTGGCACCACCAGGGCCAGCAAATCAGAGTCCGAAAGCAGAGGGGACAGTAAGCCCTGAGATAGCCTCCCAGCCGTCCGGCCTCAGTCTGGGATGCTGGAGGCTTTCGGCTGCACCTGAAGCCTATTGAACACTTTTTACAAGCAGACGCGTTGTTGCATCGTTGGAATCCGGCTAGACACAGTTTACGAGACCGTTCGCTTAAAGTCATCTGTCTGACGGCACCCAGCAGCCTCCGGGCCTCTCGCACAGCCCCTGTACTCGTTCGAAAGCAGCAGGAGGGCACGGTCAGTGTAGCAGAATCAGAGGAGGGCTGCCCAGCCAGGACGAGTCCCTCCCTTGGGTGTCCTGGTCACCCTCCTTCCCAGGCAGAGAGCAGAAGGCTTCAGCACCGCCTAAGCCCCTGAGGGCTGATTGGGGGTGGCAGGAGACATCCTGAGCACAGGCGTTATCCGAGTTGTGGAGCATCAGCCCAGGAAAGCATGTGCCCTTCAGGGCCATTGAGTCAGCGGGTTACCGATTCCACAATTATCAATGTCTTTATGTGTAGATGAGAAAAGCAGATGTTCAGAGGTTAAGAAATGTTCTCAGGATCACGCAGTCTTCAGCAGTGCTGGCACCTGGACCCACTCCTGTTCTCTGCCCTCTGAGTTCCACTCGTTTCCGCTGCCTTGCCTTGGGAGCATCAACCCTGATGGAGGCTGACTCAGGCAGGAGACCACGTGAGGCCTTCAGAATGGGGTCACAGATCCATGAGTCACTGTCCACTGGAGGAGGTCCCTGTTCCAGCACCACGCCACTTCTCCAGCCTTCCCCTGACCTGCACCCGTCTCCATGCCAGCCGGTCTTCTCAACCTTCAGACCCGTCTCAAATGATGCCACCTCCAAGAAGTCTCCCCATCGCCCCGACAATTCAAATCATCCCTTTTAGATCTCCTATAGTTTTTGTTTGGTTTTGTTTTTAAAGGAAAAGCATATGTCAGAGGTTTGTTGAACTCATTAATGAGGGAACCAGCAGGATAGCAAAGATGGCTCCCAGGAGAATTTGAAGAACAGGGTATTTCTAGAAATTGTTAGAACAAGATGAGTGGCTCAGATACAAAACTGGCTTTTTTGGAATTAACTTTTCTACCTGAGAGAAATCATTTGCACTCTGCCTGACAAAAATCTACAAGTTAATACGGAGCTTCACAGACCCACAGCCTCTAATCAACACTCGATAGAAAGTCAAACACAGGGGTGGACCCTAGCCTAGATCAGGAGTCAGCAAACAACAGCCCATGGGTCAAATCCGGCCCTCCACTTGTTTTTTTAAATAAAGTTTTATTGGAAGCCAACCATGTTCATTTGTGTGTTTATTGTCTATGATTGCTTTCACACTACATTGGCAGAATTGAGTAGTTACCGAGCTGTGACAGAGACTATGTGGCCTGTGAAGGTGAAAATATTTACCATCTAGCTCTTTACAGAAAAAGTTTGCTGACCCCTGATTTCTCATGGGTTTTTTTCTATTAAAATTTTTTCGTGTGTGTGGAAAGATACACATAACATAAAACTTACCATCTTAACCGTTTTTCATTGTACAATTCAGTGATATTAAATATATTGTTGTGCAACCATCACTGCCCTCTATCTCTAGAACTCTTCATCTTGTAAAACTGAAACTCTACACCCTTTAAACAGTAATCCTCCATTCCCCTCTCCCCCAACCCCTGGCAACCACCATTCTGCTTTCTGTCTCTATGAATTTGACTGTTCTATGTACCTCATGTAAGTGGAATCATACAATATTTTTCTTTTTGTGACTGGCTTATTTCACTTAGCAAAATGACCTCAAGGTTCATCCACATTGTAGCATGCGACAGGATTTCCTCCCTTTTTAAGGCCAAATAATATTCCATTGTATCCAGGTCTACGTTTTGCTTATCCATTCATCCATCAATGGACACTCGAATTGCTTCCATGTTTTAGCTATGGTGAATAATGCTGCTCTCAACTTGGGTGTAATATATATCTTTGAGACCCTGCTTTCAATTCTTTTGGGTATAAACCTAGAAGTGGAATTGCTGGGTCATATGACAATTCTATTTTCAGTTTTTTGAGGAACGGCCATACTATTTTCCACAGCAATGACACCATTTCACGTTCCCACCAGCAAGGATTTCAATTTCCCCACATCCTCGCCAACACTTGTTATTTTCTGTTTTTTTCATAGCAGCTATTCTAATCTCCTAGGTTTTTGTACTTCCTACCTACCTCACCAACCCCCAACAATCTCCTCTTAGTCACTTCTGTCTGCATGCTGACAAGATGGTCAGATCCTGTGGGCGTGGGTGAACATGTCTGCATCCCCTTCAGTGACCAGCACGCTGGTTGTCTCAAATGGACCCTGATTTCCAGGAGCTTACATTCTACAAAGGGAAGTGAAAAACCTACCTACGTATGCCCACAGGAGCAAGGGAAGAGTCCCAGTCTGGTCATGGCTGGGAGTACCTTAGGGCTACCAGCATGGGATAGCCACAGTGGGCTCCCTCCCTCGGGTCTCTGCCCTCTCTATCATCCTGCCCAGAGTTCTCTCAAAAACACAGCTCTGGAACCACAACACCCTTCAGTGCCTCTGTGCTCAGAAATAAAGTGTAGACTTGTTAGAAGGTCAGTGCAAGAACCAGCCCATCCTATCATCCCAGCCTTGGCTCCACTGAGTCCCTTCTGTGTCCCCTTTGTCTCGGGGCTGCTGGACACCCCCATTTCCTGAGCACCCACACACTGTGACCTTCCTGGCCTTCGAGGCCCAGCTCCGGGCACCTCACCCACCTACCCTTCCCCTAGCCAGATGTCTTCAGTCTCACCTCTGCGTTTCCCAAAGGCCCATTGGAGTTTTCTGCGATGGCGTGTGCAGGAGAAAGCACGTGGGATGGAAATCTGAAGATCTGAGTCTGATCCAGGCTCTCCCACCAGCTGACGTTTGTCTTGGGTGAGTCACTTCACCTCTTGTTTCTCCATGTTTATAAAAAAAGAGATGGGGCCAGGTCATCTGGAAATTTCCATCTATAGATAAAACTCCGTAATCCTCAATTACTTATATTCCCACACTTCCCTGCCAGACTGGATGCCCTTTAGGGCAGACGCTAATTTATTCTTTGATCTCCATCCCTAGCATCCTCTGTAGAAATTTCCATGGCGTGAGCACTCAGGCTGTGATTCTTGGATGAGCGAAATAATTTCAAACAGATTTCAAATGTTTTTCCTCCATCAGACTACTGACCCTGGGTGGCTTTGGGGCCCCATGATGTGTTCTGCGTCTTGCTCACTAAATGCCCTCTTTCCTCCCCACCTCTCTAGCTGACAAACTCCTCCTCCTCCTCAGAGAGGCAACTCGAATGACCTCTCCTCTGTGGCACTTGTCACGTTGTACCTTCTTCACTAGACTGTGGACTCCTGAGGGCACAGTCATCTCTTCCTTGTCGTCATCGCTGACGGTGCAGGACACTCGCCAGCTGTTTGCAGACAAGAGGAGGTGGAGTTAGTGGAACTGAGCATAAGGGAGGCATTGTGTCCATGTGATGCTCGGAATGTTCCGCTTCCGTCCTGACGGTGCCAGCTCCCAGGATCCAGCCTCACAGAGCCCAGGCCCAGTGCCTGCAGCAGCGAGGTGGCATTACTCTATCTCCCCATCGCCCCGCTCCATGTTCTCCTGGAGGAGGCCATCGCTCTCCAGGAGCCCCGTCTCAGCCACGCCCCTGGGGGTCCCAGATGAGCTGGTGATGAGCCTGGTGGCTGCATCCAGCTGCTCCTGCTGCCCCTTGACCCTCGGCAGGGGCAGCTAACCAGATCTGGGAGGTGAGGGGGGAGTGGCCGGCAGTGGAGCTCTGAAGAACCAGCCTGAGCCAATGTGGGGATTGATTCCCCCCAACTCAAGAGGCTTTATTACCCAGGACAACTTCCTCCTTCCCCCTGGGGCTGGGGAGGCTGGGCCTGCAACCTGAATGACCACACTGTGCAACCAGACGGATGGGGAACAGACAAAATGCTGCAGCCTGCCCCAGAGGACTCCCAGGCTTCAGGAATGGGGAAGCAGAGAGGGCTGGGGCAGCGAGATCCCCTGGAGGCAGGGGGTGAGTGGAAATGGGACAGTGCCCTGAGAGGGGGGCTGGGGAGGCTGGCGGACTGGGGCAGCTTCCCAAACCTGCCCCAGCGTCAGACTCACCTGGAGGCTTTTGTTTTGTTATGACATGGTGTATTTTCTTCCTATAGAGCCATAAATAAAATAGAGATGGATAGCAATACCTTAAAAAAAACCCCAAAAACCCTGATCGATAGGGAAAGACCAAGATTTATCAATCGACCTGAGGTCCAGATGAGCTCGGGTGTGGTCCGTGGGAGCAGTGTGTCAAAGGCAAAGAGCAGTGATTGAAAGAGTGATCAGGGCGGGGACCTCAACTGTGGCAACTCGAGAGACCGTGGGGTGTGCGGTCCACGGGCGCCAGCAGTGAAATCTGGAAGACGTAATCTCATAACTCAATGGACGTAGACATGGAAGTCCTCATGGGTGACGGTGGAAGCCGGGGGCCGAGGAGAGGATCAGGAGCCAGGTTCCGCGTCATCATCAAGAGGAGCCGAGGAGAGAAGCCTGCTGTTTGTTTAAACCATGGATTCCCGTGCTCTTGAGTCAGGTTGCTCTGCGGCCACAAGGTAAATGTAGGGAACATTCAGGGAGACAAACAGGGGGACGGGCATTGGTCTTTGCAGGTTGGCACTTTGCGTGTCAGGTAAAGGCAAGGACACAGGCCCAGCTTTAGGGTCCGCTCCAAGGGAGTCTGGGGTATCTCAGGTCAAAGATCATGTCTGTGTCATTGGTGTCATTTTGCTGCCCTCTGCGTAGCCCTCCTGGACCTCAGGGACCTGGAGAGAACCCACTTACTTGTTCAATCTGCAGCTTTGCAGGAGGAGCCACAGGAAATGGTCCACATGTCTGCAGCAGCCCCGGGCGCTCGGCAGAGTCAAGCACCTCTGGCCTTGTCGACACTCTTGCTGGGCACCTGGACGGCAACCATGTTGGCTGGAGGCTGGAGGCAGGCTCAGCCACCCCCTGGCTGCTGGCTCAGAAGGAGCAGTTCAGGAAGCATCTGTGCCCACAGGACTCTGACATCTTGTCTTTCCACGGCCAAGGACAGCCTTGCATTTAGGAAACTCCCAGAACTGAAGATGGCCATTCCTCCTGCCCCTCCAGCAACCCCCTAGCATTAGCAGAAAATGCTCCTTGAGAGAGAAGGGCTCTTCCATTTGGGGGAGGCGGGGTTCTGCAGGAGGCACTGAGAACAGGCAAGAGGAGAAAGAACTCAGAGCCGGAGTGTGGAAAGCTGGGTCCTAACTCTGGCTGGATGACCTTGAAGCAAGTCAGGCTCTGGGGCTCATCTTGTTAAATGAGGAGGAAGCCAGCTGGCTGGACTGATCCCCAGGCGGCTGTGAAAATCAAATGGGGAGTCAGTGGACGTGTGTTACAAAGTGTGAAACGCTACCCAAATGGCCGGGAACACCGCTGTCCTCAGCTCTGGCTTGTTGCCAGGCACATTCTACCTGCCCCTGCCCTGGCGCCTTTGCTGGTCCTCCTGGGCCTCAGGTCCTGCTGACCCTCTGCACGGAGCACTGGGCAACGCTGCACAAATAGGGAAGGTGGGCAGGACTCTGCAACCTACCATGTCAAACTGAGCTCGTGCTCTCCTCCCAGCTGGCAACCTGGACATCCATTCCAGCAGAGCCTGAGGCCGGGGCTTACCTTTCCCTCCACGGAGCCAGCAGGAAGTGAGCTGAGCCAAGAATCACCGATTTTCAGAAGACTTTCCAGGCTGAAGAGTTTGAAGGGGAGGGAACCCTAGCCACCAGGACTTTGTTGCTATTTAGGGAAGGATGGCACTTGGAGAGGAAGGGGACACCCAATGGGGAGTGTCTTGGGGGGAGGGGCAGAAGCTTATATAGGGGAAGAAGAGGAAGAGTTAGGGAGGGAGGGGGCCCCCCGAGGGGACACAATGAGGTCTAGGCAATAAAGAATAAAGGAGCAAGGAGAGCAGATGGGAGGGACAGTCCCCCTTCCCCACCATCTGAACTCCACAGCGAAGACCTCTTAAACCTTCAGGGTTTTGCTTGCGGGAGGTGAGTGGTCCATATTTGGAACTGGTAGAGAAATAGCCAAAATACTGTTTGTAGGTGTACCGATCACCTGGGGATCATTAGCGATGCTCTCCTTGTGGACTACATAGCCACGTAGGGTGCACCTTACAAGGCCCCTGCCTACCTCCCCAGCCCCGTCCAGGATGGGCTGTGGTCGGTCTGCCTTCCTTCCAACTCCAGGCTTCAAAACTCGCTCCCCATCAAGCCATCCTGCTGCCTCTTCCTGGAGCACTCTGCTCCCCACTCCTCACCTGGAAGCCCTTGCTGGCCGGCAGTTCTCACTTAAATATCCCTCCTAAGCCACCTGGAAGCAAGGTTTGCTCCCTGTTCCTTGCTATTCTCTACCATGGCATTCTGATTGTTCTTTTATAACACTGATGACAATATGTCTTCATTTACGGCTCTTTCTTCATCTTGAGGTGAACTTCACACAACGTGCATTTAACCCTTGTAAAGTGTACAGTTTTGTTTCATTTACTACGTCTACACTGTTGTGTGACATCACCTCTGTCTAGTTCCCAAACATTGGCATCATCCCAAAAGGAAACGTACCCATAAAGAGTCACTCGCCGTTCCCCCGTCCCCTTGGCCCCTGGCAAGCACTAGTCTGCTGTCTCTGTGAATTTTCCATTTTGGCCATTTCATATAAACGGAATCATACAGTGTGTGACCTTTTGTGCCTGGCTTCCTTCACTTGCTATAATGTTTTCGAGGTTCATCCGTGTGGTACCGTGCATCAGTACCTCATCCCTTTTCATGGCTGAATAATGGCCCATTGTATGGACATACTGCATTCTGTCATCCGTTCACGGACGTTTGGGTTGTTTCCACTTTTTGCTGCTGTGAACATTCATGGACAAGTTTGTTTGAAGATCTATTTTCAATTCTTTGGGGCGTCTACCTGGGAGTGAACTGCTGGGTCACACGGTAATTCTATGTTTAACTTTTTGAGGAAACATTTATTTATTTATTTATTTTTAAGATTTTTTTTTCCTCTTTCTCCCCAAAGCTCCCCAGTACATAGTTGTATATTCTTCGTTGTGGGTCCTTCTAGTCGTGGCATGTGGGACGCCGCCTCAGCGTGGTTTGATGAGCAGTGCCATGTCTGTGCCCAGGATTCGAACCAACGAAACACTGGGCCGCCTGCAGCAGAGTGTGCGAACTTAACCACTCGGCCACGGGGCCAGCCCCAGCATTGGTTTATTTTTTATGTCTTTTTTACCCCTAGATGTCTAGACCCGCACTGTCCAATACAGTAGCCACCAGCCCCATGTGGTTATTTAAATTTAAATTAGTTCAAATTGAAGATTCAGATTCCCGATCACACTAGTTATGTTTCAAGTGCTCAGGAGCCACATGCGATGGATGGCTACTGTATTTCCATCATCCCAGAAAGTGCTTTTGGACCACGCTGGTCTACACGGTAGGATCCTCCGTGAGGCAGGGACCAAAGCTGTCTGGTTTACTACAATATACTCAATGCCTTGGAAAGTGCCTGGCACGTAGGATTGTTGTTTCAGGAAGGAAAGAAGGAAGGAAGGAAGGAGGGAAGAGTTGCTTTCAGAGTCATTCCTTCATTTGATCTTCTCTTCTCAACCATCTGTAAGGGAGGCAGGAAAAGAATGACTTCCCCTTTTCTGCAGATGAAGAGCAGACTCTGGGAGTGGAATACCACACACATTGTCATAGAGTTGGTACAGATCGCGACCCTAGAGACCCTTCCACTCTCTCCACCAGTCAGACCCTCAGTGACTCCCGAGACATTTGGACAGAATAGTGAGCAGGCAGGCTGGAGGCAGGAAAACCCTAGAGACAGCAGACAAATCAGTCTGGCTCTAGTAGAGTTAGGATATGTTCTATCTGAGAAGGACTCTGAGCAGGACCTTATCCACTCTCTGTATTTTGTAGATGAGGAAAGAGGGCGCAAGAAGTTGTGTGTCCACAAGGTTAGTTAAGAGGCAAAGAGGCTGGGTTGGGACCAAGGCTTGGAGGGCTTGGAGGGTGAGGTCAAAGCTCTGAGGGAGCCACTGAAGGGTTTACAGCAGAAAGAACAGTTTTGTGGCCTCTTAAGATCCATCTGGTAGCATCTGCAGGCTGGACCAGAACAAACTGAGACAGAGGGAGAGACCAGTTGGGAAGTTGATGGAACAGACCAGTCACCTGAAGCCGGATGGAGGTGGCAGAGATGGGAGGGAATCAATGAATTCTGAATAAATATGAAAGAAAGAATATTGGGGGAAGTGATAGATAAGGAAATGGGGACCTTGAGTTTTTGTGACTTGGAGCCAAAAAATACCATAATATTGTCAGAAAAGAATTCAAGAAAGGAGCTGGTGTGTCTAGGAAGGTTAAACTGAGTCCTAGACACGATGAATGATTTACTC